CTCTCTTTTTCTTATCTTTTAGCTTCTGTACAATAGGTAGAAGTATACTTATTTACTAGGCCTCTCCGCCCATAATATAAGCTAAAAGATTACCTTAACCTTTCTTACTCTTTTCTCTCGTACGAAGCGAGAGAGAATTAAGAATATAAAACTAATAAGATATAACGATAGGGCTATATAAGCCTACGCTAAAACTAGAACTTAGCAACGCCCTACTAAGGCCTCTATCGTACGAGGAGCTTATAGAAAGCTAGAGCTAACTTAATATAATAAATAATCTACTCTGACAAAACCTAGACTAAATAGCTATAAGACTTAAGAACGCTAAAGGCGTATAAGAAGAACTCTAAGAGATAAAAGCCCTTTTTCTCTATATAGTATAGGGGCAAGCTATCTCTAACGTATAGACTTCTAATCTTACGCTAAATATAGAAAGTTAGTAATCTCCTTACTGGCCTCTAGCTACGCCTACGCCCGTATAAGAGTTTAGGAAAGCTAGACTCTCTAATATTAGAATCTTTAAGAAAGACTTATATGAAAAATATATGTAGTAGAAGATATAGACTTATATAAAACTATTAGCGGATTACTAGGCTTACTCTATAGAGTTCTACTAAGCTTACTATATAATCTTCTATACGGGAGGACTAGCCTTTTTAGCATTATAAGCTTATATATAAGACTTTATAAGTAGAAACCTATTACCTTATCTTAGTAAGCTTTAGAAGTAATTAGATGCGTTCTTTAAAGACTCTTTAATTAAGTAAAAAGCTCTATAGTATCTCCGTACAACTAAGTAAGAGAAAGGCGAGTTTCTTCTCTACGTACGAGCTTTTAATCTAAAGTTTAATAAAGCTAGTTTTAGACAAGATAACGACGCGATAAAGATTAACTACTTTAAGAATTCTCTTAACAGGAAGCTACTTCGTTACTAAGCTAGGTACTAGCCTTCTTTAAACGAGACGTACGACGCCTTTATATATTAACTTAGGAGTACTTAGAAAAATCTTAAAGTAATTAACTAACTCTCGTCCAACGCGCTCTCTTACTCTACTTCTCTCTCTACGGCTACCTTAGCTACTATAGATAAAATAGACTAAACACCTAATATAGGCGCTATACGCCTCTATATAAGAAATAAGTACTAGAGTATATAAAGCTAAATTGCTTAACGTAAAGAGAAGAGTAGCTACCTACGTTATAGTATCTACGGCCATCTTATATAGTAGTGTAAAGCAATAGTTCTAAAACGCACGTATAAGCTAAAGACTATAATAAAAGTTCTAACTACTACCTTAGAAGACGAGAGCTTAGATAAGAGAAAAGAAGAGCCCTAGTCTAAAAGCGCCGACTAGAGCAGCTAAAGCAGGATAAGCAGGTCGTACAATCTATTTAAGAGCTACTTTACTAACTAAAACCTACTTAGCTAATATCTATAAACGTAATTATTAATCTTTTACAAAACGCTACTACTATAATTAATAATAGGTGCTGTACTTATATAATAGTATATAAAAGACTTATATAAGAACTTAACTTACCGCGTATATCTATCCTTACTAGAGAAATTAAAGGCGTTAATAACTAAAAAAGCACTATATAAGCTATTACTTAATTTACTATAGATATTAGAGGAATTAAGCGAAAAGCAGCTACTTTTATTACTACGTCCACGTATGAGTACGACATTATTTTAAGAAAAATATAGCTTAAAGATATAGAAGGTGTTATTAATATAGCTAGATAGACACTTCTTTTTCTATATTATAATCTCTCTATACCTAGTATAGAGAGAACTAAACTATTATAGAACTTCGCCGTAATGTTAGTAGCCGCCTTTTAGGCCTATATATAATAAAGCTAAAAATAGCTAGCTTTATAAGTCTTCGCTGCTAGTCTTTAAGATATTAAGAAAGCTCTCTATCTAAAGACGCAGCTAACTATAATAGAAGTAACTAAGTCTCTTCCTTTATACTTATAACTATACACCTCTCTATTTACTCTAAAGAAAAGAGATAAGCTCTCTCCTCTATAAGGCCTGGACGTTAACTATAAAATTAAACTAATCTTTAAAGATAATAAGAAGCTACTAAAAGTCCTATATAAACCTCTCTATAATATATTTAGAGATAAACTTGTAGTACTACGTAAGATACTGTATAAGTTACTTAAGAAAGAGTTTATCTACGTAAGTAACCTCTCTACTGCGTTACTAGTCCTCTTTATATAGAAACTTAAGAGAGAACTAAGATTCTATGTAGACTACCGCGCTCTAAATACGCTAACTTATAAGAATTATTACTCTCTACCTCTTATATAGGAGATGCTAAATTAAGTTGGATGAGTAAAGTAGTATATAAAGCTTAATATTATAGCCGTCTTCTATAAAATCTAGATTATAGAGAGCTAGAAATGAATAACTACTTTCCGCACCTAGTTTAGATTGTATAAGTAACGTGTTTTATAAGCGAGCGGGCCATATAAGCGAGCGGGCCACCCTACTAACTTTGCGCACCTCTTTACGTGTACAGTTTTACTATAACTAAATAAAATTTATATATATTAAGATAGTGGATTAAACACTATCTAAAGTATCTTTCTTACATGTACGCGAATTATGGCTAGTCTCTCTACACCTGCTATACCGCGCTAGAGCCTGGCGGTTGATACCTGATCGCTCTCCTCCTTAACGCTCTTTATAAGCAATCTGCTGATTAGCCTCGTGCTAAGCGAGTAGATCTTCTCTAGCTCTCTTTGTTAGCACTCCTTGCTTCTGTATCCGCTTCTTCTTACGCTGTCTACGTTTTGTTGCGGCTTCGTTCGCCTTCTTAAGGCTGGCTATCTGATCGCGCATAAGCTCAGCTGAGAGTATTATTATCTTAGCCCCCTTCTTAAGCTGATTAATTGCTATAATAATTGAAGTTGGCGATGAGCCTTGATGCCGCTGAACGCGATCACGTATTAACGTGGATTGAGCTTTAAGCTCGCGTGTGTTGCTAGGCGTACGAGCCTGCTAGAGAACCTTTAGAATAGCTGGTGGAGTAGGCGTATAGAGCTTTATATTAAGCCTTGATAGAATAGTATCTAGCTGGAGAGGAATAAGGCCTGCACCGCGGAAGGCAGAGTAGATATTGGCTAGCGTGAAGGATTGATTAAACGCTACCTTGAACGCTGGTAGAAACTTGAGCTTGGTAATGTGGTTGATATAATAGCGGATTAGGCTCTCTACCTCGCGGCTGTACGCGCGCTTTAACGGTGAGAAGTAGCTAATGTTAAGAGGCTGGAGTAGATAAGATGAGTGAGGCGGTATATAGAGCGTATATATGTTGTTCTCCTTATAGAGCTCTTAGAACTTAAGTGACTGGTGGCTCTTATAGCCGTTAAGAATAAGCAGCCGACGTGCTCTAATAACCTTGCTATCTGTATGCTTAATAAAGTACTTTAACTACTTAACTTCTAGCTTGTTAGTTGTCTAGCCGTTGTTACTGACTGCGATGGCCTAGTTGCGTGGGATCTCTGCCTTCTCATACTAGGCAGATAGGTGATACTTACTAGTAAAGATTAGAAACGGTAGGATAGACTAGCCAGCTGCGTTAATCGCTGCGATTAGCGTCATCTACTTACGATTGCCTAGCTTAACAGCCTTTAGCTAGCATCTTCTCTCTAACGCTGTTACGACTAGCTGAGTCGTAATCTTGCCTATTATAAAGCTAGCTTCGTTGAAGTTATAGACGTTTTTATCGCAGATACTGTACTTGGCCTTTGTCTACTCCACGAGCTTAAACTAGCTCTTAATTAGGACTAGATCTTTATATAGAGCCCTCTGCCTATTATACGCTCGATTGAAACGCGTTGTAAGACTGTCTGTATGCTTAATAAAGTTGCGTAGCTAGTGGACGCTAACCTGGCTAGCGCCGCGCGTAGCTAGTAGTCTGTTAGCTATATTACGCACAGCTGCGTAGGTAGGCGAAAATCTACGTAGATCTAGATTAATTATATAATTAACTATTACCTTCTCTTCTAGCTTTGTAAGCTTCTTTGAGTTAGGCTGGCAATCGCGTTAGGTAAGTATACTAGCGCGTTAACGCTAGAGTATTATTCGAGAGACTTTGTAGACTTTTGCTATATCTCTTTAAGACTTAATTTAATCTTAATTAATAGCTAAGATTGCTAGCTGTATATTAGATTTATAAGAGACGTTGCGGGCTTAATTTGATAGGTGTAAAGGGCTGCGCCCGTGATCTCTACTGAAGAGGATCACGTGATCTTCGACCACGTGATATACCTTCTGTACGGACACGTGATCAGAAGCGAGCAGGTATAAGAGAAGTCTGTACTTAGTTATCTTCTCTTTTTCTTATCTTTTAGCTTCTGTACGATAGGTAGAAGCATACTTATTCGCTAGGCCTCTCCGCCCATAACATAAGCTAAAAGATCACTTTAACCCTTCTTACTCTTTTCTCTCGTACGGAGCGAGAGAGAATTGAGAATGCAAAACGAACAAGATATA